TTTATCATTTTTCACAGATACCTCATACTCTTATTCATCTAAACTACAAATTCCTAGTCAGATATTGTTGTTTTGTTTTTCTGGTAATCACACTATTAAAAGAGTCTCAGTCTTTTTGAAACAAGGAATAAGCCAAATTTATAAGCTTGCCTAATAATTTATGCTTATTTTCATACTTAAATGTAGGCAACACATATGGAAATCTCCTTTCTAAGGATCCCTAAAAGTCAGTATAGAGGTATTTTATTTATAACTATCTTTCAAAACTGTTTATTTTGTTTGGGGAGAATGAAAAAAGGGAGGGAGTCTAGGGAAGTAAATATGAACTTGCAGCATGTTTTGGAGAAAAAGGCCTTGAATAAGAGAAGCAGTTATTTAAATACAATCATTAAACAGCTATGTCTTCCAACTCTCAGTAAGGACTTGAAGCTGTTACTGGTTTTTGGGGTTTTACTATTCGTAACCAAATTTGGAGATTGGTAATATTCGATGACTTTCTCGATCTTACATTTAAAAGAAAAACATTTCCTAAACAGGAACCTTTTTTTCTCACCATCATTATAGTTTAAGGCTTCTTTCCAGATACCTCCTATAAGGCTAAGCAAGGTATTCATTTTGATTATGAAGTATATAAAACAATTTTAAGAGCGAAAGAACAAATGTGGTTAATAGTTTGATAAAACTTTACTTGAAGGGTAAAATGTCATGGGAGTGACTAAAAAACTTAGAAATGTTATGAATTTTCCAAAATTTAGAAGATTCAAGAAAGATTTCTATAGAAGCAACAGTAGAAAATTCTAGATGTTTGCCATCATTGATGTGAAAATATTGGATATAAAAGCAGTAAGCTAGAATTTATTTCAGAAGGGAAGTTCTATAAAGATGAAAAGTTCCACTAGCCTTACATACCCATGTTGGCTCTCCATAGCTGTTTTGCTTGGCAGCCCTTTTAGCTCTGAGTTATGTGGTGATTTCTGAGAAATGTTGTGGAGAGTGAGTCTTACCAATAAATCAAAATTTCTGATAAGTTAAAAGGTAACTTTATAGTCCACTAAGTAGGGTTTCATTCCCAGTACTTTGCTTTTTTTCTTTTCCAGTATTTATTAATAGTCTTTTTTTTTTAAGGTAATGACCTCCTCTCCTTACTTTGAATGAAATGAGACCTAAATGCTGTGCTCTCAGTTATACTGAAAGCTATGATATGAGATCAAAGATGTATATATGGGAAAGTGATAGAGCTTGGAGATTTGCTAGAGAACAGTATAGTGTTTCCAATAAATAGCTTTACAGAAATGCAGTTAACCAGCATTCAGCATTTTCAAATCAGATGGGGGTTTTCCCCCTTAGGGAAGAAAAAGAAATGTATTTTATTTAGTGTGATCAAAGGGTGATCTGAGAGGTCATTTCTTTATATATGTTTGACATTTTAAGATGTTTACTTTCTGTGTTGAGTTGCCCATAGTTTAATACCTGTCCTCAGGTTTGAAAGTAAAAGGTGATGAGTGCAAAGAAAGATAATTACCTAAAGTCAGATCCAGACCTAAGCACTATTCTGCATGTATCAGTATGTGGAAATGCAAATGCTGTTGCTATTACGGATGTCATCTTTAGTGAATCCCTGTCAGTTGGTTGAGCCCCAGCAGTTAGTAAAGCATATGCTGTTAAATTAAGAAGAACCAGACAAACTCCTTGTTCGGGTTTCTAGTCTAATTCATTGCTCCACAGATAAATGTAAAGGACCAGATTGTTTTCTTGTTTTGTTGTTCATTTCTAGTTCATCACAGATCAATACTTTTGTAAAATACAATAAAAATGAATTACTAGGAAATGAAATTTTAAAGATATATAAAATAAGCCCCAATTTTGAAATTATTAGATTGAACAGTTACAAAAATATTCTGTCAGATTGCAGTAAAATTGTCTAATCTCTTAATCTCACTGACCAGATGCATTTGTGTTCTCATGGGCCAGTAACAGTGTTTTCAGACCAACATTGATCCATAGATCACACTTTGAGGCACACTGGTGTTTTTGCCAGGGGGCACGAGTAACAGCTGCTCTCTCAACACTTAGGCTAAATATGTGCTGAATGCACATCATGCTTTTCTGCCCACACAGTTACTCATTCTTTTTGCTTAGCCTGGAATGCTCTTTCTCTCCCATCTTCAGCTATTGAAATCCCATCCAGTCTTCAGTATGTATTTCAGATGCCATCTTTTTCATCAAAATACTCTCCCACTAATACCAACAATAGCAGCTGGTTTTGAGCTTTCCTTTCCCTTTTTTGATATTTGTAGTCTGCCTTATACCATAACTATAAGAAAGCATTATAGTAGCATGGTAAAGAGGTTTGGGCCCTAGAATCAAAGAAACCCAAGATTCAAGCCCCAGCTGGGTGAGCTTGAGTATATTTTTTTAACTTCTCTGTTTCCTCATCTGTAAAATGTGTTTAAGTCTGGTGCCTATCCCAAAAGGTGGTTATAAATAAGATAATCCATGAGAAGCTTCTTACCTAGTAACTGGCACACAGTAAGCATTCCATTAATATAACTGCCATTGTTACTTGTTTCTGACTTACCTCCCACCCTTTTCTTTATCCTTGACTCAATAGATTGTCCCCTGTAAAAACCAGTGCAGTGCCCTGCTCAGTGAAATACAAGGTGAATTGAAGTGCTTCTGCCGTTTAAATGATACAAACAACCATTGGAGTAGAATCCAGAGAGAAAGAGGTTACTGATAGTTGGACAGGTGGGAAGATTGTATAGAAATGACAATATTTAAACTGATCTTGGTGTTAGGAGTCAGCATGCTGCCCCTAATTGGTGACAGGCCCTGACCCATGTTCGCAGGCAAGGAACACTGCCGGGTTCGCTGTGTGCACACAGGAGCATTTAAAGGTGAGAGTAGGAAAGGCAGCCTGAGGTCAGGTTATAAAGGGCTGGTTTTGAGATGGAGGAAGCTAGAGCCCAGTGACCCAAGAAGGAAACTAGGAAACTGGTTAAGTCCTGTTACCTAAACCAAGATTTCCTAAAATCTTCCACTGAATATTAATATTCCTCCTGGTATTGATTAATTAATGTTCCTTGGGGGGAGGGGAAGAAGGGAAGTTCACCAGAAAAAAAACAAATTTGCACTGTATCTACCTCTCCCCCTGGAGACTGACCATACAAACATGACTTCTTGGCAGTCCTTTACTCACAAAGTCTGTTTAGACATTCCTTGAACTAGGGTTTCTCAGACTTAGCACAAAACTTTTTTCGTGTGATATCTGTAAATACCTCAAAAAAATTCAGTTTAAGAAATAGTATGGTAAATAGTCCTAAATCAAGGGCATTATAATGAAAGAACAGGTTGAAATTTGGCTGTTCCTCAGTGTTCAGCAGATCCTAGGACATTGATGCAGTCAGTTCATTGCCAAAAAGGAACCAAGTTGTCTCACATTGCCTGGTATTTGGCAGGATTATTATGAACAGGGTTTTTGCTGGACCTCACCAGTTGCTTCCCTCGTGGTTCAAATGGTAAAGAATCTGCCGGCAATGCAGAAGACCCAGGTTCGATACCTGGGTCAGAAAGATCCCCTGGAGAAGGAATCGGCAACCCACTCCAGTATTCTTGCCTGGAGAATTCCATGGACAGAGAAGCCTGCTGGGCTACCGTTCCTGGGATCGCAGAGAGTCAGACATGACTGAGCGACTAACTTACTTTCTTTCACCAGTTGCTTAGGTTCAGAACGCCAGGTTATTTATGTTCCATCATGCTTGTGTCTCTGTCCACTGCGCCACCCATGCATATCCCCTGTTGCCATGCTTGTACTCAACACTTGGTGACTCCCAGCCTTTGCAAATTGTAGCACTCCAATGATCTATTTTTGTTGTTTTCTTCCTCTATATTTTTGAGAGATTTGTTATGCAGTATGTTATACATGTAAAGTAAATGAAAATAAGTTTGTTTAAAATGATAACCCTTGAGAAATTTAGAAGTACCCTTGACTGTGTCAAAACCAGGTTGGGAGTCATTGGGCTATGTGGTTATACCATTTTCCTCCTTATTTTAACAGGATTGAAATTATTACTACTGTGGCTTTAAGTAATCTTGCCCGGTTGTTTATCCCTCCTTAATATAAAGCTTGCATACTTACAGAAATTAATTCAGTTTTAAACCTAAATAGTACTACTTACTTAATCAACTTTAATAGTTTATCATCAGTTAATTTTTAAAAAAACAAGATGAGCTTATTATGGACATGGTTAGCACTTAATAGTTGCTTAGTAACTTGAGGCAAATGATGGTTTTTTTTCAAGAATTATTTATGGTGTATGTATATATATCTATACGGTGTTTAGAACTTAGCACATAGTAAACACTATGTAAGGTGTTTGCTGCTGTTGGTGTTATTGCTGAAGATTGGAATTCAGTCCTGCCTGGTTATTTCCCAGTCTTCAAAATAATTTAAACTCTGCTTTTCTCAGTTACTGGACATTTTTAATTGAAGTTGCAAGAGCAGTTTCACCTAAAAAGTTCAAAGAAGAATTAAATTTCATTAAGTTTCTGAGTGGTTGATGTAAATCATATTGATCATAATATATTAAGATACTGAAATCCACAATCTTGGGACTTCCCTGGCAGTCCAGTGGTTAAGACTCTGTGCTTCCAGTGCAAGGGACATGGGATGGGACGTGGGTTCCACCCCTGGTTGGGGAGCTAAGATCCCACGTGCTGTGTGGTGGGGCCAAAAGATAAATTTTGAAAAAAATTTTTAAATGCACAAACTTTCCAGATTTATACAAGATTCAGCTACTTGTTTTATATAACTATTTTACTCAACCTCTAATTTAGGACATAGTGCCTTTTAATCACTCTTAAAGTCTCCCATACCTTTCCATATTATATAAAACATGTATGCATTACTTTCGGTTTTAAAGTACTTGTTATTTTTTTTAATGCTTTTTGGAAGTCCAGATCTCTCAGTAACTAATATTTTTCTGCTTCACCTCCTTCAGCTTACTGAAACAAATTCAAGTATCAAGTGCTTGGACTCCATGTGCTGTTTCTCAGAAGGAGAAACAGCGTGTGCATCTGTTGGAAGAATGCTGGAGCGAGTAATAGGAAGATGTAGTCCATCCCATGTCAGCAGGTGTGAAATTTCTCTAAGTAGCCTTTGCTGCAGATGAGTATCCTATAAACTGGAACAGGTTGAACCTACATCTCTAGATACCTAATCAGTCAGCCCCTGCTTTTACCAGTTGAAGCAGGAAGTGTGCTATTTATTAGCACTCTTTGATGCTATTTCACTTCGTGGCTTTAGGATAGGGGGTTCTTTCACTAACAAAGGAAGAGAAAGCACCTTTGAAGAGACTTTTCATCTAATGAACAAAAAATTTTTGCTTTACAGTCTTTCTCAAATGTGGTGAATAGGAGTGTGTATATGGTACTCTTGCTTTTATAACTTTCTCTTTTTTGTTATACCTATACTATTTTATTTCCTGTATTTGTTTTGTTTGTTTGCTTTTTGTATTTACAAAATAATATGCACATAATAGGAAAAATCAAGAGACTTTGCTTTTCTTATTCTTCATGTATATTGTCTAGTAAGTCATTTGAGACTTTGGGATATTTATAAACATAAAAAAGGCTGTATTTCTGCTCTCCTATAACTTTTTATCTGTGTGCTGCTGCTGTGTAATATAGGTTTTAAAATAAGTTGTGGTTTTTAAGTTTTTACTGCTATTTATGGTCTAATTAAAAGTTTATAAGTTAGAACAGGTCTTTAAATTATGGTTTAGAAGAATTTTATTGTTTTTTGTCCCTTTCCAAAATGTATTTCTTGAATTAGACTTGTGCTTTTGAATCATAACAAAAATGCCATATTTACCACTTAAATTATTTTAAAGTGAAATTGATTCAGCTCTTTCTACATTTCCCCAAGAGACATACTATTATTTAGGGAATATTAAGAAATAGAAAATTGTTTCACACTTTGGTGTTCTTTAAGTGAATGATATTAAAGTTCCAAAGTGAGAGCAGCAGTGCACTCGTGCCCATGATGTGTTAGAGATGGGCACAGATGAATGGTGAGTTCCATTGTCCACAGCGTGCCACATGAGCAGGATCACTTTCTATATGTGCCATGCTGGGGAAAAGTGTGGAAAGACCCCATGAGCAGGAAATCAAGGGTGGAGGCAACACTGCTTTTATCTGTTGATAAAAGAATTTTTAATATTTGGTTGGCTTTATGTTTTAAAAGTGAAGAGCATGACATTCTTCTTCTTATTATTATTCTTAATGATTATATATTATTATAAGGTACATTATTCTTGTACCTTAGAATGCAGGTAACTCTTACTGGCAAACTTGTTCACTCCCACTTTGCCTTAAGTTATGGCCATTTCTTTATGGTACAGTTGCATTTATAAATAGAATTCTTTTAATATGTATATGGTTTCAGTCCCCATTTGTTGATTATAATGTGATCAAGAACATTTCCATAACACTGTGACATTATTTTATAGTCATTTTATTCCATATATAAGAATTACTATGAGCAGCTGAATTTATTGGGACTTGTATGACTTACAAAATTGTATTATAAAATGCATTATAAGAAATAGTTCTGTCATGTACCCAGGCCAGTGAGTCTCCCAAAGGAAGTTCCAGAAAGACCTAATATATATTATTTTACTTATTAAGACAGGTTTACTGCACAGAACTAAGGTGGGAATTAGACTAAGAGACTACTATAGAAGAAGTTTTTATATATCTTTTCAGCACAAAATTTCTGTTTAATGACAATAAATGTCTTCACTAACTACTAAAACAGATTAGAATTAGTTTTAAATAAGCCCAGAATATTTTTCTGCTTTACATATATTCCCACTATCTGGATATCAGTTATTAAGGTAATGTGCCCCATTACTCTTAACATAGCCATTTTTTCACTACGTTATCCGTTTTGAACCTGCCTGAGGGATTATATGGGGTTTCTTGCTGCATATTCTATTGACTGTGTCTGTTCTCATCTGTACTTTTTTTCACTTAAAGTTGTATCTCACTTTTTTCTTTTGTAAGAGTTGTTTTTTTTTTTTTTGGTAATAAAATGTTTAACAGTAGTGAATATCTTATTTGACAGACTATAAATAGCTTTCCAATTTTGTTCAACATCTCCGGTTAAGTTATTGGTTACTACTGTCATTATCTCCCTGTTTTCTTCAAATGAATAATCCAAAAAGTCTTTTGAGATTTGTTCTATTTTTTTTTTAGTGGATAAAATTATATAATATGCAAAACCACTCTGTGCCTTTCTAAGGGCTATATGAAAATTACCATAGATCCATTAACATTATATTTAAACTTTGAAAAGCCATTTGTTTTTGTTTTTACATGTAATTGTTTTAGTGAAGTACATTTGGCACTCTGTTTTGATTCTGGAACAGCTTCTATTCTACATCTCTCATGTCTAATTTAAAAAGTAGGACAAGATTAACGTCTATTACAAGATGTAGAATCCCTTGGATATTTGTTCCATTAACATTAAACATAAGAGATAATGGTAATTACTTGAGGAATACAACTAGTGCTTTCATATAACAGATTTCTAATAAAACTAATAAAGTTTTACCATCCTTTATTCTACTTAAATTTTATTAATTGATGTTGTCAAAGAAATATGCCATATTGCAAGCTACATTTCAAAGGTAGCATCATGGTGCTCTATAAAAGATATACCATGTTGTACTCTGAAGGTCTGTGCTTCAGCAGTAAATGCTTTTCTGTATGTAATTTACCAGCAGTTACTTATCCTAATCAAAATTGTCTTTTAAATAGAAAGAGGTTAATAGTTAATATATAACTCCGGGTTTAATGTTCTGTCAAATATGATATTTAACAATATAAATGCACATATGTGCTTTGAAAAGATCAAAAATGAAAGACAGCTTACCTGAGAGGATTTTCTATGTAAGCAGTGATTGAAAAATAGGAAAAACTAGTACAAAATATTGGCAGTTTAGGAGTGTTGTTTATGGTTATGTTTTGTCATCTGTGCCTGAGCATACTTTTCCTTGCCTCAGTACCAGGAAATGTTCCCATTTCATTCATTTATTTTACAAATACTGAGTACCTACTATGTACCAGGCATAGTTCTAGGTACTAGAGAGACAGTAGTGAACAAGCCCTTCTTAAGGGAGGGTACTGTTTAGTAAAAATTAGAGAACCTGTAAATCACTGGTATAGTTGTTGCTTATCTGTCTTCCTCTTTGCCAACTTTGTAAAGTTTTCTAGCTTCTAAACTTCATTGTGATTATGTTCACTTAATCGATTTAAACTGGAACTGCATACAAACTTTAGAGTCTCTAGGAAAGAGATTTTTGAGAAAAGTGAATTTGAGCCATTTTAAATGCTACTCTCTTCTTCTAACATCTTTATTTAAGGAAAGTGGGAACCCTGGAAAAAGTTATATAAAATATATTTATTGTTAAGTCTTCTAAGAACAGCCACCTTTAACTTGGTAATTCTAAACTGTCCTTGAAATAGGTTAGGCTATTTTAAGCATGGCAGGCTATTTTCATTCTTAAGTTTTTTAGCTGAAATTAGTACAGCTGCAAATAAACTATTATATAATGAATTGCATCTGGTCTTTTCATTCAGACAGACAGTAGGTAACTTTTTACAGACCAGTAGAGGATTATTTGTTCTTAGTTAAGTGAAAATCCTAGTGATTTCCAGGTGTCTTTGATACCTGTTGAATTAAAACATCTACTTTGTTCAAGCTAATTATGCTAAAATCTTTAGAATAGAATTTATAGCTGAAAAGAAATAATAATATAATATGAACATACTATTACTTCATTGTAAAGCTTTTGGTAACTGGGCTTTTTGTTTGTTTGCTTTTGTTATATCAAATACAGCCTAGTTGCTTTTCAGGAAAACCAAATGTGCATAACACTTAATAACATATTTGTTTCTTACTGAATTGTTAAGATTTTAAGAGTGTCTCATGCTTTACTACCTATAGAAATTGTTTTAATACTAGTGAATTTTGGCTAATATTTTTATATGATGACTAGAGTATTATTTTCCCAAGTTTTTGTATAATGTAATGTTTGGTCATTCAGTGCTAGTAAAAAGAACTTCTCTTTAACTTTTAAAAATGAATCAATCAGTGCTTAGCTTAATACTCAAACTGCATTTTGCTCCTAAGTTTTAGAGTTAATTTTTTTCTCAATTGATACATAGGTCCTGGTGAGCCAAACTTTTCTCTTATTGTTACTTTAGATCATGGAGTGCATCGGATCCTTTCTATACCAACGACAGGAGCATCTTGACCCTCTCCACAATGGACTCATCTACTTGTTAAAGGGGCAGTAGTAGTTTGTGGGAGCCATTTCAACTCCTTTCCTAAAATTGAGTGTGAGCATCCTGGTAATGGCCACACTACCTCTGTGGAATTACTTTCTGAAATCTCTGAAGTAGTTCATGCCCACTCAGAGTTATAATGGCAAACAAACAAAAAATGTTACCATGCACCCATGTCAGCCACCCTCTTAATTTAAACATGTTAAAATTTGTGAATAAAGAGACATTTTTCATCTCTTTATCTGGGTTGTCCCCATGTGTTTATGGGACTCCTAATGGCATTTCAGCCTTTTACTAAGGCCACTATATTTTAATATCAAGGTAGAAAAGGGAGCTAATTCCTAGTTAATTGTATTTTTTAGTATTAGCTTGGTTATTGAGTCTTCTATTTAAATCTGCTTCTGTAAATTATGCTGAAAAGTTTGCCTTGAAAACTCTATTTTTTTATTAGAGTTATATTTGAAGCTTTTCATGGGAAAAGTTAATGTGAATAGTAAGGAATTTTGGTCCCTCGGTGACCCATGTTTGTTAATTCTTTAGTGCTTTCTAAGTTCACAGAACAAATTAGGAGAATGCATTTCCAACCATTATTTACTTGCACTATGGATAGTAGAGATAAATATATATCAGTTCCAAACTTTCAGTGTACTGTAACACAACCAGTTAAGTTAACCATATACATGCAAAAAGGTATGCCATATCATATATAAATCAAGAATCAAGTCCATTCACCAAATTTCAAATTAATATTTATTATTTTCATGACAATGTAAAGAACCTGTAGTGGGTAAATTAGACATATTTGCATATTACTTAATGTGTTTATCATTGGATCTTTTGCATGCTTTTAATCTGGTTAATATATGTCAGTTTGCTTTTTCTTGTCTATCTGAAGGCTTTGTTTATAGTATTTTACAGTGCTGTTGTGAAGTCCAACTATATCAATAAAAAACAGTTTGGAAAGTATTCAAATATTGCAAATACTTTTAATTATATGAATCAAAATTTTAGGATAATTAAATCAGTGAAATGAGAAGAGCCTCTTTTTTGTGACTAGCTTAGAACTGCTTTTGCCTTTCAGTAAGCTAGCTCTTAGAATAAAGAATTTCAGATGAGAATCCTGTTATTTTTAGGTTAGTATGTTATCTAAGTTACAGCAGCCTACCACAGTAAAGTCAAGTCTACCCGGTGTCCCATTATAAGGTATGGCTATAGAATGTAAATGAAATAAACTCTAAAATGCTAAATTATATGGGGTAATGGCTGCAATAAATTTAAGTGCTATAACTGATTAATAAGGTTTGTATGATTGCCATTAATTCACTGCAGTTCAGTACTTGATTTCCATCCTGAATTTAACATGTAGACCCAGTGCTATCATTTGTTTTCATAAAAAGTAATGTTGTTTTAAAATTTGGAAACGATTATTAGTTTAAAACTGTTCCTAAGCATATGATTGAGTACATATACATTTAAAATTGTATGGGAATGGTTGCCAAAGTTTTTTGAATATGGTTAATTCCTTTCTGTACATTTATTTTTTGCACAACCCTTCCACCCCTTTCCCATTTCATGAATATAAGACTTCTAGAATTGGGCTAGTAGGGAAAGAATCAAACAATTAAGACTTTACCTTTGTTCACTGGTAAGCTGTTTTCTTGCCAGTATAACATTTGTCTGCTTCAATAATGCAAGGATATATTAGGTTATAAATTTCAGCCTAAATATTAATTTTTGCAAATAGCCCATCTTTACCTTAGATTGGGTTTAGGAAAATGCTGTTATTCTGGAAATACTATAAAGGGATAATAAAAATTTACAGTGTGTACCCTTACCACTTCATGTTTAAGAAGAGGAAATATTGCAGAAAATATTCAGTAGAGTATTAGTGGATGACAATGGCAAACTTGCTCTTAGAATGTCTTGTAAAATGTTCATATAACAAAATGACATTTGGTAGCTGGGCATTGCATCTACCTTGGTGTTTATTTGCCATCAATTTAACTGACTACTAATAGTAGGGAAGGACTGCAAAGCCATCAAGCAGTCTCTGACCAACTATAGCAAGGCATGAACTCAGCCAGCCTATATGGTGCTCAAAGTATGATTGATACAATTTTCTGCATTCACTATTTGAAGTTATTTAGGAACTTTGTATCTGAAAAATAGCATCTGCTGACATGCTTATCCTACTCTGTTGTTCAAAACCTACTCCCTTTAAAGGAATTCTTGCAATTGTAAGAAAAGGATTTTCTGTTGTTTAAGAAAGTAACAGTGTTGTCTGCAAACCTCCAATAGTTCTGTGTGCTAGATAGTCATTTTGTAAAATTGTTACTGCATAATGAGTATTTGTAAATTTTCCTCCTTGCTTATCTCTTTAAAATTCTTTGGAAAGTACTGATGTTGATAATTAACTTACTCTTATCTGCCAAAACCAGGTATGATGCTACATGTGTTATTGCTAGTTACTGGTCTCAAATCTATTTGCTTCACTTGCTTGTGTTTGCCTAGCCTTAAGGCTGTAGCCCTGAAGATAGTAGCAATCACCAAGTCAGTTTCCAAAATTACCCATCAGCTGCTTTAGGTGACTCAGCAATCTTGCCTCAACTTTCAACAAGCATTAGGCTCACACTGGAAGGAATGGAGTGTGGGCCAGGGGAACTATAGCCAGCTACTCAGGCTTGCTGTGGGGTTGAGAAGGAAAAAGGAGAGAATTAAGTTTTAATTTCTCTTAACTAACCACCTCCTTGGGTCTTAATCTCTCTGATGTCCAGCAGCTTCCCAGACCTGATCCAGACTCTGGCACTGTCCTGAGTAGGTTAAACAGAGTCAAATCAGCTAGTTAGGGAATACCTTTCTCCGACCAGGGTCATTTCTACTGCATAAGACTGTGAAATTGGCCTTGTGTGATAAGCTTGAGCCTCCTATCTAATAGGCAGGAGTCACAACCACTAAAATATTTACAATTTATACCAAAAGTTTTTAAAATACACTACTCTGAAAAGTTACTGGGGCTGGAGAAAAGGGAAAAATCATCCCATGTTTTGTGTTTTTCCTTTAAAGATCAATTTGGGGTGTAAGCAGGTGTTAATAAAACTAACACACCAAAGACTTATATGAAACATGTTTTGTTATTTTTGGCCCACCTTTAGAGACACTTTTATTTCTATCTAAAATGTCTTCTATTTTCATAAAAACAGAACATTATTAAAGTGCTGTTTATGTGAAATAACCTGAATGATATTACTGCAAAAGATCATAACTAATGATATGCTTGTAATAATGGTGATTGTTAGATTTTTATGAATAATACATAGTTGGAAATACTATTGTAACAGTTTAAAATTCTGGACCTCAGACACTGTGGCTATCTAATATAACTTGTTGTCTTCATTGTCAGTAAATTTAGCATACCTGTTTTGCAGCGCTCAGTAATTTTTTAAAGTTTATGAAATTATACTAAATAAAAAATTTCCTATATAAGTAAGTCTTTTTCTGTTATTTAAATGCATTTTAAACCTCCCTCTCCTCATCAAAACCAGCACTGCCAAGTTTTTGTAGTTAAATTTTACTGCATTTATTCTCCAGTAAAGAAATGTTATTATATGCCTTTCACTAACTGCAGTTTTCAGAAATCCAGTTCTTTTGTTACCCAAGTTTTATAGATTATCAATACAGTTTCTGAAAGCTGTCTGATTGAAATGTACAGACTGTAAAGACCAACACACTTCAACTACAAATGCATCATTCATGAAAAACCAGCCAGTGTAAATTTGGAAATGCCTTCAATGAATAGAAAATATGTGCTTTCTGGGACTTCCTTGGCATTCAGTGGTTAAGACTCCAACATTTCCAATGCAGTGAGCACAGGCTTGATGCCTGGTCAGGGATCTAAGATCCCACTTGCTGCCTGGTGTAGCCAAAAAGTTAAGAATTTAAAAGAAAAATGTGTTTATTAAAATATACTGTATATATTTATGTCTGAAATATTCCACTGTCCTAATGATGCTCAATCACTGTAAACACATTATTTCATTGGTGTTTGTTAAAAAGGTAAGCTATTGTTTTTGTACATGTGTTAGTATTTGCAAGGAATGACAATGTATATATTTTTTTATTTCTGAAATGAGATAGAACATGATCCTGGACAAGTCAATTTATCTAGGTATCTGTTTTATTTATTTATTTTTTTGTCCATTTATTTTTATTAGTTGGAGGCTAATTACTTTACAATATTGTAGTGGTTTTTGTCATACATTGACATGAATCAGCCATGGATTTACATGTATTCCCCATCCTGATCCCCCCTCCCACCTCCCTCTCCACCCGATCCCTCTGGGTCTTCCCAGTGCACCAGGCCCGAGCACTTGTCTCATGCATCCAACCTGGGCTGGTGATGTGTTTCACCCTAGATAATATACATGTTTTGATGCTGTTCTCTTGAAACATCCCACCCTTGCCTCCTGCTCCCACAGAGTCCAAAAGACTGTTCTGTACATCTGTGTCTCTTTTTCTGTTTTGCTTATAGGGTTACCGTTACCATCTTTCTAAATTCCATATATATGTGTTAGTATACTGTATTGGTGTTTATCTTTCTGGCTTACTTAACTCTGTATAATGGGCTCCAGTTTCATCCATCTCATTAGAACTGATTCAAATGAATTCTTTTTAATGGCTGAGTAATATTCCATGGTGTATATATACCACAGCTTCCTTATCCATTCGTCTGCTGATGGGCATCTAGGTTGCTTCCATGTCCTGACTATTATAAACAGTGCTGTGATGAACATTGGGGTGCATGTGTCTCTTTCAGATCTGGCTTCCTCAGTGTGTATGCCCAGAAGTGGGATTGCTGGGTCATATGGCTGGAACTAGGCATCTGTTTTAAAAGGCATTGAGGACTCAGACTGTCTTTAAGATATTCAGCCTTTAATGTTTATTGTACAACATAATGAATCATGTTCCTAATGATTAAGACATAGGGCAAGAAAGCAAAATTTT